TTCACCAATTCCCATCTCACCTGTTRCTCTGAGCCCTACTGATGGTACCAGGGAACAGCACATCACTATGGAACACTCATAAATAAGGGAAAAGTGTCAGTAAAGCAGATTTTTCCTTACTTCTCAGAATAAATACTTCATTCCCAGACACGTTGATTTGTAGCTGCCACGAATTAACCTTTAGCAAAAGATCCTTTAACAAGTTCTCCTGGAAACTTCCTGCCCAGGTTCAGCACCGGAGTTAATGAACCCCCAATTTCCCCTCCTACCTGYGAATGCCAGGAATAAAATCGTATTAAAGAGGTGGATAAACAAATTAATACRGAAAAGGTCAGCAGTGATGATTAAAGATTAAACCATAAATACCTGGAAGCTGGGAGGTAAATGAAGACAGAATTTGGTCTGGTTTGGATGGGAAGGGACCTTAAAGCTCAGCCAGTTCCAARCCTTGCCATGGGCTGATGYCACTCCCCAGACCAGRTTGTTCCAAGCCCCATCCAGCCCAAATCACACTGATTTTTGCTGGAATAGAACCTAAGATTAGCTGCATCCTTGGTGTGAACCAGCACAGCAGATACATTTCAAACAGTCCAAAATCCTCCCTTTCTTTTATTTCCTTTTCTGAGATTGTAGAGCTCAGAAATTTCCAGATAGGCAGATAAAAAGGGGGTTTGGTTCCTGCAGAAAGGCCGAAATAAACCCTTTGAGTGACCTAGCAATGGCTCAGGTATTCCATTGAACAAACCTGAGATCCTGGAGCTTTCTCACATCACCATTTTCACAAACACACCACGTTCTGATGCTTGAAAAAAGAAGCAGCTCCAGGGCTGCACATTCTGTTTTCAGCCACAGCCACACAATGAATCCCAGCCCAGCCCTGCATGGAGTCTCCCGTGAAAATGAAACTCCTTTGGGAATTTCCTGTGGGCTGCAGGTCAGAAGATTTTGTCTTTGACTTGCTCTGTAATGGCTCTTTCAACCTCTGGGGCTCCCACACTTTCATCTTATCTATATCTTTAATAAAAGCAGGAGACGGGAATGATGGAAACAACACGCCTCAGTGGAATACAATTCAAATAAAGTTGTTAATAATAAATAATATATTTGGTATTTATCCTGCTGCTGCAGCCCAAGCCTGTGATTGTGGGCAGCGCTGAGATAAATAGCTGAAAGRAGCAGAGGACAGCAGTCAGGCGATTAGGATTTTAAATTTGCCACGAGGCACAATCAGGTATCTAAATAATAAATATCACTTTGGTTCCTTCAAGCCTGAACCAGACAAGACATTAACCCTGAAAAGTCAAACTTTGAAATGGAAAAGTGAACTCAACCTTGATTAAAGGATGCAGCAGAGCTCCCTCAGCAGAGCTGCTGCCATCCCTCGTGAACAAGGAGCTTTTTGTTTTTCAGGCAATGGTAAATTTATTTACCACTTATCTACCATAAAAAATACATATTTATTCTGCCTTTCATTTTTAAATGCCGAATCTACAGACTCCATTTCTACATCCTCGATTTTAAGGTGTAACCAAGTTTTCTTGGCCAATTTCTCTGTTGAAAAAGAACATGTCAGTAGTGCCAGCAATGAAAATTTGGAGGTAGAGCTGCAGAGGAGCAGGTAAGGGAAATTCAGGGCATCTGTTGGGTTCTTGTTGCCAAGGTTTTATCATTGCAGCAGCATCTGCCATCACCTTTCCAAATGATTTTTTGAAGTGAAATTGCTACATTCATTTTATTTCATGACTTAGCAATTGCATGGAGGACAAATTAGAGTTTCTAGGGTTTTATCTGCAAATCCAGGAGGATCCTAGGAYGATAATCTCATGATTGCAGAGACAYRACTTATCCMAACTGTTCTAGTTACCAAAAATTACAGATTTTAGGCAAAATCTTGTTCTTCAATTGCTCCAAAAAATACACAAAACACCAATTCCCACAGTTCATGACATTAACTGTGATTGATGCAGCAGTTTGTACTTTGGCTGACCTTTCCTTCCTTCYTCACAGGTGAACTGGGGGGAAAAAAAGGGGAGAGGTGGAGCAATTGGCCAATCCCATCAAGGCACGGATCAAGGGCACTGAGATCCTTCACAGTCATTAAAATTCCTATATCCTGTTCTTATAAGGAGGGGAAAAAAAAAGGACCAGACAAAGGCACAACAGGAATCTATTCTCTTGACAGCAATTTAATAACAAAAGAAAATGTTCTGAGCCACTCTCATTACTGCTTGGAAACTTTAATCTTGTGGACTTAGTTCCTGCTCATGGAAACCTTCAGATCCCTTCAAAAGCCACAGAAAAGGAATATATGTAGGTTAATTATACATTTAAACATTTTGGAGAGTCAGAGCTGCTTTGGAAGAGGGTTGTGATGTCCAGCTCAAGGGTTCTAGGAGGAATATGAGGCTGTGTCWGAGTATCAGGAGAATCATCAAATTCAGCACAAGACTGGAGCCTCTCTGMTCTGGAGCCAGGCTGGGAGAGCTGGRGGTGCTCAYCTGGAGARGRGAAGGATCCARGRAGAGCTCAGAGCCCCTTCCAGRGCCTMAAGGGGYTCCAGGAGAGCTGGAGAGGGACTGGGGACAAGGGATGGAGGGACAGGACACAGGGAATGGCTTCAAACTGCCAGAGGGCAGGGTTAGATGGGATAYTGGGAAGGAATTCTTGGCACAGGGTGCCCAGAGAAGCTSTGGCTGCCCCTGGRTTCCTGAAAGTGTCMAAGGCCAGGCTGGACAGGGCTTGGAGCAGCCTGGGACAGTGGAAGGTGGATGASCTTTGAGGTTCTTTCCAACCCAAAATCATTCCATGATTCCATGAACACCATGATAAGTTTGTCACAGGACTTTCTTCTGTGTTTTTAAGGAAGGGCAAATCTGAGAAGCCAATATTTCCCATTTTAGATTATTTCTCTATTGCCATTAGCAACTCCTGAATTATGTCAGTCAGATTTCCCAYTGCTGCCTTAAATGATCAACAATTTATGCAAAAATATGTAAAATTAACCCCACATCACAAAGCCAAACCCTGCCCACACCTTTCCATACTGAAAGGAGCAACTTCCCCACCACCACCCTGCTGTGGGCTCATGGAATTAACTTTAGAAATCACCAGCTGACCACAGGGACAGGAGGTAACAGAGCAAGAAATTAATTTTGCCTTTCTCCTCTCTTTCCATCAGCAATTCCGAAGCTTTCCAGGTGACCTTTGCAAGCCAAGACATTTTAAGGAGAACTAAAAATCCTTTATGGAAGAATCAGCCAAAATATGAATTTTTATGCAAGAGGCCYTACTATTCCTCAGAAAAACGTGGATTTGCTGCTTAGGAGATGTGAAAAAACTTCACAGCAAACTATTTTACATAACTCCTGCAGAAACAAAGTCTATGTGGCACATTTTTATATGGAATTGTTAATTATGAAAAAACATGATTTGTGCACTAGAGAAAACACCTCGGAAAGATGAGAATTGACAAGATTATAAATTGGTTTAACTCGCTGAATCTCAGCCTTCTAACTAATGTCATATAATAACCAGACATGTTTTATTTTCCCTACATTCCAGTCACTGAAGATAAACAAAGAAAACAACTCCCAGCAAACCCAAATGCTGGGATGAGAACCACAGGCCTACAAACGACCCCATTTTCAAGAAAATCATTGTTAGCTGCGTGTTTTACATGGTAATTGTACATCCCCAGTTTATGAATAACAACAGCAGAGTTCTTCCCTCCTGATTTCAGAACCACTCGAGCTACGCAGATTTCTAAAAGCTTATGAATATATAGAGCAACGGAATTGTTCTGAACATCTGTAAGCAAAATATGAAAAGATGTTTGGTGCTGAATGAACATCCTGGGTTGTCTAATGCTGGCCAAAAATGGTGTATTTATGTACCAGGGGAACGCACTGAAAATAGCTCCAAATGCTGCACACCCTCCAGAAGGGCTTTTCAGATTGTCCTCTGTAAGGCTGTCACCAGGAAACAGAAAAAGAATTTTCCATTCATTCCCATTCTATTCAATTTTC